ACATATTCTCTCTCTCTCTCTCTCTCTCTCTCTCTCTCTCCCCCCCCCCCCCCCCCCCCCCCCTGGCTGCCGGGGTTCCCCTCCCTGGACTAGGAAATAAAGAAGGGCTGCTCTGACCCCGTGCTCCCCTTCTCTCGTTTTCACCCATCTTCTTCTATTTGGCAGATGTGTCTAGCTACCACTTCTATTCAGTCAGGGGAGACTGGATGTTGAAGTTGTGGCTACTTGATAAAGACTTCACTCTTTCTTAACCTCTCTCTGTCTCTTCCCTTCCTCCAGTGCTCTCCCTTATATCTTTTCCGCTGCTGGTAATGATGGGACTCCCTATCTTCACCTTGGCCATGTGTGCTCTTCACTGTCACACCTGTAGAACATAGAAGGCCATCAGTATCTCATGTGTTCGGATTGCAGGTCTAGGCGATCGCTGAGGTTAGTATTGTGAATGTGTGAGAGCCCCATCAGGGTCTCTGCTTTTCCTTTGGTGGTTGTTCTGCAGCAGTATAGTGTTGAAGTGCCAAATTTGTCACACAGTTGTGTGTCCCTAGACTGCATTGTTGCTAGTGTTGCCCTGCCCATCCATGTCTTGACTTTGCTGGTCACGTGTCTATCTTGTTCTCGTCTTTAGCAATTTTTTTGTTTATATGCTGTACCCAACTCTCTCTTTATGTGGTTGTCTATATGTTGTACCCAACTTAGATTCACTGACTTCAGTCAATGAATAACTGTGGGTTGGTTGAACCCAAGTTTTCTTCATTGAAATGATGCTTCTTCAGTCATTGCATGGAGGCGGGGGGGGCCCTTTTGACTCACCGTGGATGATGTGTTTGATATTTTGTTGATCCATTCCTATTGCGGTAATTCCTTTGCAGAGTTGATTGATATCACGCCCCTTGCATGTGTCTCAAACTTGGTTGGTCAGTGCATTGGGGGCTCCCACTTTATGCTGGTTTATTGTTGTTGCTGCAGGGGCTAACTCCGGAGTGCAAGGGCGCACTTGTCCACCCTTCATTGGCATCAAATGTTGGAGGCGGTGCGTGTATCTTTCGTCGAAGCTGGAAAGATACACTCACCATTTTTCACATTTGGCTAGTCGTGGGGCAAGCCCCTTTAGTCATTCTCTTACCGTCCTTTTGTGTCTGTTTTGTGTGTTTGAGTTTGGTGGATGTGCTTAGTAAAGCTGGGGGTGGTGGGGGTGCGGGGGCGCCATGGGGGAGGCGGTGTAGATGCATCTCATAAGTAGAGGTGTCGAAGGGGGTCGGGGGAGGCGGGAAAGAGTGAAATGCTTGACGTGTCTTGAATCCCTGTCGGTTGATTGGTGGCTGCCGTATGTGCCAGATGACGAGGGTCATGATGTTAATGCCAGCCCTTTCGTTTTCTGTGATGCAGAGACGTATGGCAGATTGTATGTTCACTGGTGAGCAAATTCTCCAAGTGCCCACGAAGACTCTCTCGTACTGGTGCTGGTTCACTTGGCGATGGTGGTGCAAAGGGCTTCATATTGTTTAGGGACAGGCGGGAGTTTCCTCCGGGACGAATAACGGTAAGAAGACCAGACGTGAGCAGATAAACTTTCTTGCAACGTTTGTCAGTTGGGTCTTTTGGAGAAGGTCATGAATTGCGACGATTTGTTGGTTGGGTATTTCAAAGAAGGGCAACAAATTACTGCCACGTTTTGTGGGCAGGTCCCTGTGCAGTGTGTGGTTTGCTGTATGCTGTGTGCTGCGTGGTGTGCCAAAAAGCGGTCCGGCAAACGAAAAGCATTTAAAAACATGTAGTGGAAACTCGAAAAAGTTCAGAAAATTAGGTCTTGGGTTCTTATGAATTCAACAAAATTGTTGAAATAACATTTTGGGATATTGTCCCAACCAAAATTTGATTGCACGTATTCGGCGATTTCAACACGTCCGACAACGATATACTGCTCATTCCCGTGACACCTTCGGAAACTTCATCAGAATTGTGCATATGCATGAGATCCTGAAGGCTACTAAGTTGCGCCATGTGT